CCATCTTGGCGCCTGGCTCCAGCGCGGCTGCTGCCGGCACCGCCACGTGACACCCGCTTCCGGGGACTACAGCTCCCAGCGGCCCCCGCGGGCCCGCCCCCCCGCGCGCGGGGAACACCGGGACCTGGAGTCCGCCAGCGTGCACTTCCTCCCGCGCGCGGCCTGCTGGGAAGTGCAGTGTTAACCCTCCGCGCGCCGGGACGGAGGCAGCGGCGGGGGCCCCGGGGGGGGGGCGGCGCCGCGGCGGCGGCTCCCCGGGGGGAGAGCGGCTCCGCCCCGTACTGTACGTCCATGCGGGCAGTGACGCGAGTGTACCTATTTATAAACATATATATGTATATCTGCTCCTCGTTCATTTAAACACATTAATATAGTACGGTGGGGAGGTACGAATAATTAATTTAGCTTTAATAATACCTAATGAAAGCAGGGCCAATTCCCTGAATGAGGTAAATTAATTCCTAATGATGAATAGATGTAGCTAATTAAAACAAATAACTTAGCATCCAGTGGTGAATATGTGCATCTAATTATATTAAATAAAGAGCTAATGATAAATACCTAGCTAATTAGAACAAGTCCACTAGCTAATGATGAATATATGCATCCAATTAAAACAAAGAACTTAGCATCTCAGACGAGTGCGTGCATCTGATCACATTAAATAGCTAATGTTAAATATGTACCCAGTAAAAACAAGTAACATATCAAATGATGAATATATGCATCTAATTAACCTAAGTTAATGCTGAATGGTGAATGCATGCATCTAAACAGTTTAAATAGATTAGAGTCTAATGCTAAATATATGCATCTCATTACATTAAGGAAACTAATATCTAGTGATGGATACACGCGTCTGTTTGGTGTGTTTCAGGGTTGGCTGGTTGACTTCCGTGAGGACACAAGTGAAGGCGCTCCCAGGGTGCAGCTGGGGGAGCGCGGCGGGTGCCAGGCCGCGGAGCCAGAGCGTCTCGGGGGGAACCACCCGCGCACAGGCTCCCCGGGCAGACAGCTGTGCTGGCGCTGGGCCCGCCTGCACCCCAGCAGTGAGGCCTAGCCAGGCCGAGGGCAGGCTCGGGGTCACGTGCAGGGTCACCCTGGCCTGTGCGCTGCACCCCGAGCCCACCTGCCACGGCCTGGCGCAGCCGCCGGGTTGGGTTGGCAAAGCGGCTGCGGTTTGTGCGTTGGGGGCACGACGCAGAGGTGACGGGGGCATTTCCCCTTCTGTCGTGTGCGTCCGTGCAGGCGTGCTGTGCGTGTGTGCACAGGGGCGGGCGGGGTACTCAGGGCAGAGGCCTCTGGTGTGAGTCACAGCATCAGCAGCAATGGGTTCCAATTACCATGACCATCACTAGCACTAATTTATGATTAAAAATTTTAAATATGAGCAATAAAGGCGTGGCTGTGAGGAAGAGCCCGCAGACCTCCCTCCGCCCTTCCACTCCCTCGTTCTTTATCCCTTGAGCACCCAGCACAGGGCGGCGCCATGTTGAAAACGGGCACCCCTCTGGCCCCGCCGCCATTTTTATTGCGGGCACGCGCGCCCTGCTGGGGCCCGCCCGGGC